ATCAAAAATGTAGCCTGTGGCGTCACCATGACTTAGAGCAGAAAGCTACAATAAAACTGTTATCTACACATCTATTATCGGAATGCAATCTACATGATCCCACTCACTATTAAAGCATTCCAACGTCAATGCATAATCACAGATTATTTGGCCAACTGCTTTGAATATAAGCACGCAAGAATGCTGTCAACGAGACAGTAGCAAATCTCACTTTAAAATTTTTACAAGACTAAAGTGCTCCCCAAAGAATGCAAACTCTTGTTTGTGCCGAGGTAAAACTGAATGCAGACACTCTATTTGAAAAGAATTCCAGGAAATAAAAATTTGTCAGGCGAAAGTTACTGCAAGAAAAGGAGTTTCTAATCATTCACTCCTTTTTATTCTTAATATGCTTTCTTAGACCATACATGAAGCCAGGTGTGCGCACCTGACTGGCCGATGAAAATAAATGAATATTCATTTTCGTCCAGCACTTCATGCTTAGTACAGATGATGGTCCTACTACAACAGCAGTGCCACGTCGGGAAACTTTGTGTCAGTTTGACATAGCCACATGGCGGATTCAGTAAGTATGCTTTTCAATATGTGCCACAGTTCTTTTTTTCACATGTTCCTTGCATTCTACATGAAAGTGGCTTCACTATATCAGAAAATTTGTTCGATCATAAAATTTATATGTAGAACACAACACAGAATTAGGACGTTTCAGCTTCGCCTTCACCAGTAGGTCACGATAGGGTAATCGGACCTCGTGCGCATTGTCTTCTGAACTGCTAACGTGCTTCAGTTCTCAGTGCAGGCCTCAGTCATGCAGTAAGGAAACAAGCGACTGTGTGCATAATCATTAATGCCTATTGCAAGCACAGTTCTAAAGGGTCCACTATGCCATAATTATTTCTTTTGCAAATCAGCAAAGGGCTGACTACGTGTCCGTAAGGCAACACGCGAATCTTCACGGCTGTTCACTTTGCCAGCGGTTCTACTGCGCATGATCATTAAGTGTCCGAGCGACTATTTATGGGCGGGCCTTTTAAGACACCCACTCGTTGCTCAACTCCCACGTTTTGACGCTTGGCACGATCCTACGTTTCTTCCACGCAATATATGATGCGCTAAGGAGACTCCTTCCTCTACATGACAGTCATGTTTTTTTTTTTTCAAAGCACTTTCAACTAATATTGTGGCTCCGAGATGCAACACCTGCTTGCCACACAGAAGGTTCTATCTGCACTCGCACCCAGAAACTATTATTACTTTCTTTGTGCCTTTTAAATACATGCACATAAGCGTACAACTAATATTGCAATAAAACGTAAAGAACTAAAAAAAATTTGAAGCCTAATAACCAAGGGGTTGCTGGTTCAATTTTTTTTTCTTCTGAGTGTTGTTCTTTGCGCCTTTCATATACTTACACATACATATTGCCACATGGTTTGCTTGGGTGAGATCGAAGAGTGAAAGAGGACAAAGACGATCTCTCTGAGCCGCTGCTTGAGTAGTCGACTAAACGAGCCCATTTTTTATCAAGTTTGTCGAGAGTAACGTGACAAGACTGGTGGAGGTGCTGGGTACAACGTCTCGCAATCCACCCGATGCCCAAGACCCCGTCCAGCAGCCGGAACACAAGCCCTGCACCCGTGGACACTCCTGTTCATAGAGTAAGCCACCGCCAACGAGGCCTACCGCCTGAGACATCAACCACTGACGCAGCGACTATGACTTCGACACAAGATCCCATGCAAGCTCCGACACCTTCCACGCCGATCTACTGCACCGTCCAGAACCCGCTCATGCCTAGCCCCTTTCACGGAGCGCAGCATGAAGATGTTGACGACTGGCTGAGTGAGTTCGAACGTGTCGCAGCGATCAATTACTGGGATGATGCCGCGAAGCTCCGGAACGTGTACACGTGCCTAAAAGACGGTGCCAAGACGTGGTTTTTGAACAGGGATGATGTTCTGACATCTTGGCGCGAGTTCCAGCGTCGCCTCCTGGAGACCTACAGGAGTCCCGACCGCCGCGAACGGGCGGAGCGTGCACTTCAATCACGCATCCAGATGCCCAACGAGACCGTCTCGATGTACGTCGAGGACATGACACGGCTTTTCAAGCGAGCGGATCCTGCTATGGCAGAAGAAAAAAAGTTGCGCCACCTCATGCGTGGTGTGAAGGAACAACTTTTTGCTGGTTTGGTGCGTAGTCCCCCCAAAAGTGTTGCTGAGTTCCTTACTGAAGCGGCAACAATGGAGCGAGTACTGCACCAACGGTCTGCCCAGTTTGACCGTCAAGTGAATGCTGCCTCAACTCCCGAGATTTTCGCCACCCCTGGGAGCAAGAGCCCCGAATGGATTCGCGAGATCATTCGATCTGTCGTCCGGGAAGAAATGGAAAAGATGTACGGGACAAGGCAAATCGATGTTGGGTCTATCACCAGTGTCATCCGCGACGAGGTCCAGCAGGTGCTGCACGCCCATCGTTTTCCGCCCACGTCGGTTGATCTGGAAACGGCTCCTGTGTCTACTGACAGTCGCCTTCGTACGTACGCGGAAGCCTTGCGATCTGCCACTCCTCTTTCGGGTCAAGGAGTCCCAATCCAGCCAGTGCCGCACGTCCCGATCCAGACAGTGCGGCACGTCCCGATCCAGACAATGCCATACGTCCTGATCCAGACAATGATGCCGTCAGTCGCGATTCAGTCAGCGCACGCTGATTTGGACATCGATAGTCGCCGTACACCGACGCGCAAGTCTGATCTCTGGCGTACGCCAGACAGACGACCCCTCTGCTATCACGACCCCTCTGCTATACGACCCCTCTGCTAGACGACCCCTCTGCTATACGACCCCTCTGCTATACGACCCCTCTGCTAGACGACCCCTCTGCTATATTGCGGTGAGGCTGGTCACATTTACCGCGAATGCTCATACCGGCAACTTGGACTGCGCGGATTTTCCGTCAATTCCCCTCGTCCCCGAATTGGTCAAAGGCCAAGGGATATCGAAGAATATCTCGCGCAACAGCGTGCACCCTTTACACGACGGCAATCGCGGTCACCATCTCCGAGGAGACCCGCAGCCACTGGGCCACGTTTTGGGGTGACGGCACGGGAACGCTCCTCGAGCCCTCGTCGGGAAAACTGAAGGCAGCGGCCTTCGGGGGCAAGGTCGCTGGGACTCAAAGTGCGGAAGACCTCCCATCGATGCTTGCACGCAACGCCGAAGGCATTTCGTCAGAAAATAATCGCAGTGCCGAAGAAACGCCGACATCCGCATCTGAACTTAGTGACCGCGTGTCGCTCGACATACCTGTGCTGGTTGACGGTCTTCAGGTCAGTGCATTGGTAGACACTGGTGCAGACTATTCGATCATCAGCGGGAGGCTAGCGAAAGATCTCAGAAAAGTGATCACGCCGTGGAATGGAACGCGAATTCGAACAGCTGGAGGACACGTTGTAACACCGCTGGGTCGCTGTACCGCAAGAGTGAAAATTCGTGCGTCAACGTTTGTGCTCAGCTGCCTCGTTCTCCCCGACTGTTCGCGTCAGCTGATTATCGGCATGGACTTCCTTCGGGAATACGGTGCCATCATAAATCTCCGTGAGCGCATCGTGACCTTCTCGACTCAAGGCGCAACAGATCGAGACGCCGATAACTGCGGTAGACTTGCGCTGCGTGTTGCTGACGACAGTGTGACGCTGCCACCTCGAGCAACTGTTCCCATCGAAGTCACTTGTGAAGACTTCCAAGACGGCGACGTGGTGGCTGAAAGCAACTTATCACTTCTGCTGCTCCAAGGTGTATCACTTCTGCTGCTCCACGGCCTCTGAAGTCGCGCAGTTCTTCGTGCACCAAATCGTCCTACGGCATGGTGCCCCGTCATGCGTGATTACGGACAGAGGGACGTCGTTTACAGCACGAATGATGGAGGACATTTTTAAACTGAGCTGCACAAGTCATCGAAAAACAACGGCTTATCATCCGCAATCCAATGGACTGACAGAGAGGCTTAACAAGACCATAGCGGACATGCTGTCAATGTACGTGGACGTACAACATAAAACCTGGGACGAGATTCTTCCATACATCACGTTTGCTTATAATACGGCAACGCAAGAAACAACGCGATTTCCGCCTTTCCGACTTGTTTACGGACGCAACGTGCGAACCATGCTCGATGCTATGCTTCCGTGCGACGAAAGCAATGAACTTGCTCAAGATGCTGAGCAATACACTCAATACGCCGAAGAAGCTCGTCAGCTAGCTCGCATAAACACCAGGCACCAACAAGATGCAGACGCGCAACGTTCCAACCTCCGCCATCGAAATGTCACCTACCACCCTGGGGACCGAGTGTGGGTGTGGATCCCTGTCCGGCGACCAGGCTTATCCGAAAAACTCCTAAGCCGTTATTTTGGACCGTACAAGGTTCTTAGACGAATCACAGATCTTACCTACGAGGTATTTCCGGACGGCGCAGCGTCTTCTCGTCGACAGTTTCGGCCCGAAACCGTGCATGTCCTTCGGCTGAAGCCCTACTTCACACAGTAGCCCTTGTGGTTTCACGTGCTACGACATGCCGTGACATTGCGTTGCTGCTGCTGTTTGTGTTCTCGTGTTTTTGTGCCCTTTCTTTTTGCGCTTGGCGGAAGCGTTGGCGAAACTTCCTCATTTGCGCTGCGAGTAGTGGCACTCTCCCTCTTTTGGTTCTCTATATCTGCGTGTGTATACCTTCATTTTTTTTATTTACGAGCATCGAGTCGATGCTTTCAAAGGGGGGGACTATTGCCACATGGTTTGCTTGGGTGAGATCGAAGAGTGAAAGAGGACAAAGACGATCTCTCTGAGCCGCTGCTTGAGTAGTCGACTAAACGAGCCCATTTTTTTATCAAGTTTGTCGAGAGTAACGTGACAATATACATATCCGGGACATGACGGCGACAGCTAAAATCGGCTGAGAGTGTCCACATAATTGCAATTGCAATAAAGAGCAAACTAAAAAAATGTGAAGCGTAAACTGCCTTCATTCAACACAAAACTTGCAAACATACACACGAAATAGAGACATCAGTCGCAGCTTGATTACGTAAGACTGGGAAAATAAACATGAAGGTTTTATTTACATGGCACATGCAGACAAAAAAAAACTCTTAGTAAAAGTCTTCGTCGGCTGTGGTTTCTTGGACGGCCGCCTTTTTGTTCTTGATGTGGTCCTGCTTGTTGTACAAGTCTGCCACCTGCAACAAGAAGAGTTGTGGTGATGCTGTGGACTCTTCTCGAGGTATCGGAATGACGACTTTAACAATCACAACAACCGTCACAGGTCACAACAATCACAGCAAGTCACTGCCTGTTCTTAGAAAAAAAAAAAGTGCGGCAAATGCTTCCCACAGGTCTCGGGTTGAAACCAGAGTTTGGGACGAGTAGTATTGAAAATAGGGCAAGTTGGTATCTATTAATTTTTAAAAGTAAATAGTGCGAAAAACGAAGACAGAGAAGTAGGAAGACCCAGGACAAGCACCGATTTCCTCGCAACCAGAACCACTATGGTAATACACTCACACCTCGATATAGCGAGCCCAAATATCGGTTATAACAAAGTAAATTAAAAGTAGTCTTTCAGTAGCGTTGGGATTATGCCTTAATAAAAAATTTTCGAAAATAACAAAGTAAATAAAGAGTAGTCTTGCAATAGATTGCGTTGAGAATATACCTTTATAAAAAAGTTTAGAATTTAACAAACGTCGTTTCGTGTAATATGCATCTACATTACAATGAGATTCGAGTGTAGCATTCCAGACTTTTCTTGGGGAATTGGAGTGACGTTTGAACGACAACCACCCACACCGTCAATGACCGCTTTAAATTAGGGTTAATTACCATGAACCACAAGAATATGACATTTCTATTGCAACAGAATATGAAGTGCTTTGAAATAATTTTTAAATATAAAGCACTTGGACATATCTTTGTAAATTGCATGCGAAAGCTTTAAAAGTTAGGTCACGATAAAAGAGGCAATAATTATGTAATAAAATACAGTAGAACCTCGTTGACACGTTTTCGAAAAAAAAAAAATGAAAATCATGCGTACGACCCGAATCCAGCAAAAAATGAGGCTGAGAAGTCCATATAGAAATGTAAGAGCAAAAAACATTTATTTCTAAAAAAAAAAACACAATTTTTTACTGCTGCCTCTCACCTTTGGACAAGAAAAGCTTCTTTCGCATACATTGCAGACCCTTGTCCATATTTTCATTGTTTTTTTTTTTGCAAAGGAAGCTTTATAAAGCTTCTAGTCTAGCAAGGGCTTCGGCAAATTTAGCTGGTCGGCGCATGCTTTCATTCTTGCCGCTGTCGCCTGGTGCCTCGTCCCCAACCACTTCCGCGACAATTTCGGCGACACTTTGCGGCTCGCATGTCGGGCGAGACAAACTCGGCAAAGGGTGCGTCCACACCGGTGGAGAGGAACTCCTCATCGATGTTGTCGTCGATGTCAGATACGCATGCCTCAAGGTCGTCTTCGCTGTGCTCTGTGTCCTCTGATGCAAGCTGCCGCAGAAAACCACGCTTCCTGAAACAGCTGCTCCTTACGTACGCTGCCATCAAAGCCAAATCCGAAGGCCTGTGATTGCTTAAACCGCTTCAATAGCGCTTCCTTCAGTTCCCCATGGCGGGCTCCACAGGCTTGCTTGGTTGCGCCGCCGAATACCACAGCGCTCATATCACTTTCTTTCTGCTTCAACACTACAATAGTCACAGTAGGCGCTGGCAATTCCAGTTTGTTCGTTATGTCGATTTGCTTTTCCTTGACAAGGGCTTGCGCTTGTTCGACGCCATGCTCAATGCTACTGCCTCGAATCGCGAGCTATGTACACTGAGCAATATGAAGGCTCCAACAGGGCCCGGCCAGAGACGTGAGAGCTCACATTTGCGGGCCGATGACATGCAAACGAACCCGGAAGGCAGAGTGCCCGCAGTAACTGCGTACCAATGATCCAGCAGCCTTACAGGCCACACAAAATTCCGAAAACCACTGTGCTACGAAAAATAAGGCATTTTTCGAAAACCATTACAAGACTTGGGTTCAGAAGGGTGTGGGACAGGAGTGACAATTGAACACAGAAAAGAAACTGCCGTCGCTGCGCAGCGATAGTCTGCTACTTGGCGCTTCACAAGCACATGATAGCGTTTTTTTTGTATACCTGAATGAGAATTTTTGCTCGCGGAACGTATCATATGATCGCAGTATGCCACAATGCCAGTCTTGCTGCCGAAAAACCGTATTTTCCACGAACGTATTGAGTGGAACGTATCAACACATATAGCTCTATGGGGGGACTTTTAGTTTTCGCGATTTCGAGTGTAAGAGCCGAGAAATCGTATTAAACGGGAACGTATCAACAAGGTTCTACTATATACTTAAGTCTGGAAGAACTTCCATATATAGGTACTCCACCAAGCATCCATGCAGAACTAAGCCTCCGCAAGAGCGTTTTTCAAATCCACCTACCTGTTGCGCGGAAGTGGCGTCCTCTGGATTCTTGTCGTCTCTAATCCTAATGAACCGGGGAAACCGCAGAGAAATGCCCTTCTCAGGGTCAACCTGTGCAAGGGAACAACAGGCAAGTCGTCACGACGTCAGACACTCTTGGTTACAGCAAATGTCAGTATTTCGATTCCGGAGTATTACGCAAGTATAACTTACAACTGCCGCAATCATCCAAGCAAGCTCCTGGTCTTCAACAGATCAAAACATTCCGGCTAAGTGGAGGGGTAGAGACACTTTCCCGGAATGGCACCAAAATTCAAGATGGCAGCAGTAAAGTGTTCCACCACAAAAATTAAAGGGACACTAAAAGCAACTATCAAGTCGAAGCCGATTATTGAAATAGCGGTCCAGAAACCTCGTTATGTTCCTTTCATGCCATGAAGGGTTTATTTTGAAATAAAATCACGGTTTAGTGGCCCGCATCGGGTTACCCCACTTCAAATTACCCGCCTCAAAGAGCAGACCAACTCCCGTCACTGTTGCCGTGCACAACGTTTCCGGGCTTTACTGCGCAGTCGCCGACACTAGTAGACAGAACGAAAGCAGCGGGAGCCATAGCAGCAACAACGGCCATCGATCAATTTCCTGCCATTGGCTCAGAGATGGCGAACGTGTTTTGCTTCAACTGCGCCCCACTAGATGGCAGACCTGTCTAGTTTTACCACACTAAAATTGAATTGTCAAACCACTGGTGCCATTTCCCATAGTAACGTCTGGCGGTTCTTTTTCCCATGAATCAAACAGAAACGAAGAAACAACATCTTATTGTGTCTCTTGATGCACGGAAGGTTCTTTACTTAGTGCAGCTAGATCGATTACTAGTAATTAACTGTAAGCGGTTCGTCCGACGTTATCGATATCATTTTGAGAAAGTCCTACTGCGGCACATGTATTCTTATGAATTTACCTTGATTTTTCGGTAAATAGGGCACTACTGATGATAATAATGTCATTTTAGATGTCATACATTGAGCTTTCACTCTGACGTAAATAAATTGTTATTTGACTGTAGTGTCCCTTTAAGGCACCTTTGCACTAGCAGCGCCAAGCCTGAAGGAAGCATGAAGCTGGGCAGCCTTCTTTCTTTCCCTTCACTTTGTTTTTTTCTTTAACGGGAAGTTTTCAAACAATAAACAAGTATACCCACCAATCCAAGGGCCGCCTTGTGAACGGGCGACACGGAGAGGTCGGCGCTCTTGATCTCCCACACCTGACAGGGTTCGAACCATGCGTCCGGTGCCAGGCTGCTGTCGAAGCGGTAGTACGACTTGGGCGCCGGGATTATGTGCTCCTTGAAGAACGACGAATGCTGGTCCAGTTGCTCCTCACTGAACCCGGTGCCAATCTGGAAGGACACAGACGATTCTACTAATGTGACTGTAAAATAATACACATCTGCATCTAAACGGATTAACTAGGTTAGTCCGTTTGTGTCTGTTAATGTGGAATTTAACATCGCAAAAACTTGAGGCAGAGGCAGCGCTTACTTTGCAGAGCGTCTGGAACTCCTCGTTGTCGGGGTCGTAGCAGCCGAGCAGGAAGCAGCCAAATGTGCCCGTCCGCTTCCCCTTGCCGTGGTAGCCACCGAGTACTACAGCGTCCACACTATCCCCGACGCCATCTAGGTAGTCCTTTTTCAACTGCGCACATAGAAAGGCAGAATTATCTTTTACTCAGGTACAAATCATCCCTCCAAGTTGTGACACGTAACAAAACTGTAGAGATACTTCATGCCCTGAGTGTTACTTCAACCAGCTTGAAATGTAATGCACACTTTTCTACATGCTCCCCGAGCGGGCAACTAGTGTCACTAAGCTGCGACTTGCGGCAGAGGATAACTGTGCTGAAGACACTACTGTGTTCAACAAGCCATTCAACATGCAGCATTACAAAAGCCATAATAAAGCTATAACATTTATTAGTTATTGAGACTTTTTGTCCCAAAACCATGATAGGATTATAAGGGACAATGCAGTGGAGGGCTCCGTACTTGCCCTAAACCACGGTGCCTGAAATGCCACGGTGCCTAAAATGCCACTGCCCCCCCCCCCCCCTCTCCCTGAACAACACCCAAATTTGTTTACAGGTCAATGCAACTGCTCAAGTGCTTGCTTCCTTCCATCTCCCCATTTCTTACTCTATGACAACGCGCACTCACGACACAGCGTGGACAATTGAGTGGGATTACTCAATTGAGTGGGATTACGGAAACACCACGCAAGTCCATCCAGAAAAACCCAAATGCTGCACACCCCTCATCCCAGAAGTCATATTTGCAGCAATGCTTGCAAGGAAACACTGTGCACTTCTCAAGAGAAAGAGAGCTGAACACACCTTTAGCCAGTTGTGGGAGCGCTTGGCGATTTCGTACGTAGCCCCAGCATCCAAGGACTTGACCATGAGGCCCTCGCAGCTGCCTGGGAGATCGCAGCAACCATACACAGCTAGTCAGTCACACGTGAAATACAAAGCCATACCACAAACACGGAAACATACCAGAACAAATTGCACAAGATGGCGTAACTCTAAACATTGATTGGGCACACCTTATAGGCTCGTTCAACTAGAATTGGCTAGTGTGTCTAGAAAGACACGAGAGTGACACAGCAGTAACGAAATATTTCGAATTAAGCGGGATTTCAAAATAACTTGGTTCGAAACAGTGAGGTTTTACTGTATTCTATGTCAGGAACTGTTTTAAAAGCACAAAGCCTAGTGCTGAAATTTCATCATAGCTGGGTACCTTACTGAATGTGCCTAAGGTAATTTTCCTCTTGTTCTTCCACAATTCCCTAGCTTGTACAGTGCAGGCTTCCCTTGACCACAAGGTTTCATGAAATGGCGGACTTATGCTGCCGCTAAATACCTTTTGCAGCAGGCCAGGTGTTACCACTACTCATTCGTATCAAATTATTCATAAGTACGACTGCTATGAATTCGAAAGTCGAATAAGATTGTTCAATTTGATATAATGACTCCAATTCAAAACTCCAATGTTCGCCGTATGAGCATGACAAAATCCACTTTCTACATAATATATACGTCAACAATGCCCATCAAAATTACAATACCAAAACTTTACACCACAATAGCTTGAGGCCACTTTCTCGATTTCCGAATGAGTGAGCTAGTAATAGCAGCGTCACCGACCTTTGATGGACTGTTGTTATGAATTAGAAAGTAGAATCAGATTGTTCGATTTGGTATAATGACTCAAATTCAGAACTCCAATGTTCGCTGAATGGGCATGACCACATCCACATTCTACTGTATTGTGAGTGCCGTCACCGGCTTTTCTTTATCAATTGGACATGTCATCATCCTTTGTATAATTTCCTCATCTGTAGATAGTGTGAACGCAGTCACCGACTCTTCTTTATCAATTTGACGTGTCATTATCCTTTGTATAATTTCCTCATCTGTAGATAGTGCGAGCGCAGTCACCGAATCTTCTTTATCGATTGGACGTGTCATCATCATTTGTATAATTTCCTCATCTGTAGATACCATCATCAGTGTGAGCCAGCTAGAACTAGTCTCGAGCTTTATTCGAGACGAGCTCGAGCTGACTCACACTGATGATGGTATCTACAGATGAGGAAATTATACAAAGGATGATGACACGTCCAATTGATAAAGAAAAGTCTGTGACTGCACTCACAGTATACCGTATTTACTCGCATAATCCTCACACTTTTTTGCCGGAAAACCGATGAAAAGTTGGGGGGTGCGATAATTACGCGGGGAAATCGTTCTACGAAAACGTAGAGCGAAAAAGAAAACGAAGTGGCCGCAAATCGGGATTCTCACACCAGCAACTAACAGCAAGCTTTAAGAAGTACTAATTGAAACTTACCTCAACAATAAAAGCAGAGGTTCAACACAAGACAAGATTTAATTGAGACACAAAAAGTGGAAGCAAATAGTCGAGAATTAGAATACCATACGCAAAGCTTGCGGACGTTGCGGGCGTAGCGGTAGCGTTCGTCGCTCAACAGGAGCCCTCAAAAGGTAAGCGTGGGACGTCAGTATTGGGCTGATGGCTATTTAACAGAATTGTCCGCAGTTTCCTTCTTAAGAAATAAAGTTTACCATCAATCCCAGTTTTAGGCGCAAGGCAGACCCAACACGTCTTGGTGGCTTTCAGCAGCCATCACCAGTAGCAAACACAAAACTCGTAGACTCCGAAGGGCCAACCGGTGGCCCTGTTGCCGTTCTTTAGTGCATTATCTATCACTTGCAACTTGAAAGCAGTCGTACAGCTTCAGTATCGCCTCACAACTTCACAAGGTTACCGACGCAACATACAAAACACACCGCAACGCACACTGGCCACTTCGGCTTGGCTTGAGTTGGATTGAATCTCTGTGCAATAGTACGCTTGATGCTTAAGAGATGGCGCCAGATGACGTGCGCTATAATTATCAATGGCTGGAAAGAGCAGACGACATTATTGCAGCAGTTTTCGGTGCGATAATTACTCGAGGAAAAAAGAAATCGTATTTTTGTTGGGCGATGTGGGGCGTGCGAGAATTGTGCGAGTGCCAGGATTAAGCGAGTAAATACGGTATATCACGACAATATTGCCCATCGAAATTACAATACCAAAAACTTCACGCCACAATTTCTTCAGGCCACTTTGTTGACCTCCAAATGGGCGAGCTAGTGATAGGAGTGTCACCGACCTTTGATCGACTCTTGGAGGAACTCCTGAATGTCCTCGACCGTCGATAAATCAGCCGACCGCGCCAGCTGCGTCTCGCCGGGCACCTCGACGAGGGTCTCGCGGAGGAGCTCCCTCCTCTTTCTTAGGGGCTCCTTGACCAGCGATTCACCATTGTGGTAGAGGAGGTCGAAAGCGAAGACGCACACCTGCACCTTCACCTCTTCCTCGGTCGTTTCCTGCATTCATTTGTAATATCACTCAAGCCTACATAACCTCTCTGGAGCTGATTAAACAACCACAGGATGCTTTGCAGAACATTACTACATTTTTTTTTATTGTTTATGCAAATCTGCCTGTCATGTCGCTTGCTGACCGGACAGCTATGCTTCAAACCTCAATCCGCCAACGTTGCATTTGGCTCGTCTGGTAACTTGCAAAAGAAGTTGTTACCTTGTTCTTTAACACACTGTGAGCGAATCGTCATGTTAGACCTTGTTACTATTTTAGAAAACTGTGTCAAAGCTTGCAATGCTTTAACACAAGCTTTAAATACACATATTTTTTACGTCCAACCTAAATACAACAAACCCAGATATAACGCAATATTGGGTATAACGAAGCAAATGAAGAGTACTCTTGTTGTAGACATAGTGCTAGGGACATACTTTTCTAACCAATTTTCAGATATGACGAACTCAATTTCATGTAAGATGCAACTTCGTTATGATAAAGTTTTAGATTTCACGATTCCCTCCAAGTTTGATATCTCCAGAATTGACTGTTTGAATTCACTGAACACCCCAATTATTCGCTCAGCTCTACCTTGCATATGCTACGTGATGCATCCTGGAGTTAATTGCTTTTGTTAAAATACAGAGCTAAATTACATGAAAGGACACACAGCACAATCCAAGGCACTTGCAAAATCGTTGCTTTGAGGAGGCCACGCTCTAGAGGGCTGAAAACTTTGACCATGATGTACACAAGTGCACTCTAACACGATCGACACAATTCACTATATGCATGCTATATTACAGAAATCTTCACGGGTAAACAGTTGTTATGACCGGCACAGCAAGGAGGTGGCTTGCAAGGGACGCTCATCGGCGTAACGGTCAAACGCTGTCTGCGTCCTGCAGGAACGCGGGAGGCGTCTGTGTGCGCCGCAGGAAACGCACATCAGCGTCGCTGGGACACACAGCCTGCGTCTGAGAAGATGCATGTGCACGGACGAGGGTTATAAAAAGCGCGTCGCGTGTGCGGTCGGAGCTCTCTCTCTGGACTTCGCTGGCCCGCTTGTCTTGAGTGCGCTCTGCGCCCTTGCGATGGAAAGGCGCGTCAGTAAGCTCTCATTGCAATGTACTTCTCTTGCAAATATGTGAATTAAACGCATCTTCTACTTGTTCGTGAGACGCGTCGCAAGAGTCGTCCTTCGCCGGATCCTGGGTGGCAGCCTCAACTTCTCCCCGGGCATATCAACTGGTTGGCAGCGGCGGGATCGGTTCGTGTTCTTTCCTGGTACCGATGCTGGGGAGTGCTCACTTTCCGTTGAGATTCTGCCAGGTGTTTTGGATAGATGGTGAGGTTTATCCAAAAGGGTAGATTAGTTGCTGCTTTGTGAAGGATTGGGTTTATTAGAGGTACCTTCACGGCAGTTTGACCAACGGAAGTCTGCACGGGGTGACCATGGACTTGAACAAATTGAGGAAACCGGATTTAGTGCTGTTGTGCCAGGAGCTGGGGATTGAGGTGGCGACTATACATAGAAAGCCACTTTTAATACAGGCGGTTAAGGATTCTGGCGCGGATGCGGAGGAGCTCACTGAGTGCTGGGAGCTAATTCAGGAGAGGATAAAAAGGGCACAAGAAGTCGAAGAGCGAGAGCGCTTCATGTTTGAAAGAGAAACCGTCAGGCGCAAAGAAGAAGCGGAAAGCCAAGAAAGGGAGCTTGAGCGCTTGCGGCTTCAGCTTAACATTGCAGAGGCAATGAGGGGGAAGTTTCAGCCATTCACAAGTGTAGCTCACGAGAAGTGCGAGGTGCAGCCCAGAGCTTTAGAGAAGGCTAGCACGTGTGAACATTGCAGCAGATTCAAAGGCGAATCGAGCTTGAGTGCTGCGCATGATGCTGCGCTGAGTAGAGAGGCCGACGAAGGCCAGAGCGAGTGCGACGAGGTGTTGTGCCAGTTAACTGTTAGTGAAACAGCTAGAATAGCTGTAGACAATCTGGCACAGACCTCAACTGTGTTTGTCGCGATGGTGGATCTTGCAAATGAGGTCGAAGTAGGCAAGAACACCGGAGAAAGCTCAGAAGCAGCGAGCGTAGAGAATGGTATCAGTGCAGTTGCAGACAGCTCTCAGGAATGCGAGCAAGGTTTTTCGAAGGGAAACAGCTGCATTGTTCCTATGTGTGTAAACCAGTCCACCGGTCTAGAGGGTGAGAATAAAGATGATTTGATTGAAAATCATTTAGACCGCGCGACTGAGACAGCGGACGCAAGGTGTGCGAGGGTTGACGAGCTGGAGATGCAATCGGGAGGCTCGGAAACGAGACGCAAGAAGCGGTGCAGACGCAAGAGACGTCGAAGAGCCACGAGCGAGACAAAAGGCACTACGCGTGTTGAAGAAAGCTCGCAAAATTTGAGCGTAGCAGGCAAAATTAGGCATTTCGCATCGGCATCAAAGTTGCCCTGCATGAGTTCGAGCCACCGGACAACAAGTAAAAGAACAGCGGGTTCTTCGCAAATGCAATCAAGTGGAAGGCACCAGCGGAAAAAGGGCAGGCCACAGCGCGCATCCTTGCGACCGAATTCGCGGCAGAGGTTTAGAGCTTTCCGCGGACAAGAGTGTCGAAGGGGTCCTGAGAAAAAGGCCACAATAGCTAAACACCGCACAGGAGTGAGCCCAAAGAGGACATCGCCACTCTTTCCCGCGCGTTGCTCGAATCCCCTCTGCCGGGCTGACCGAAGCCCGCCGAAATCGCGAATGAGGCGTGACTGTGCCGTTCAGCTGGAAGTACGTGCGCGTCGTTGCCTCGGGCGTTCTCGAAATCCGCCAAGACCTCGACCGCCACGTGTACGATTGAAGTGAGGGACAGCTGTAAGCAGGAGAGTCGGACACAGGGGTTTTATTAGAAGCATGCATGTTTGTTTAATTTTGATTTTATAGTAGTATGCCTGTGTCATCTCCACGGTTAGTTTGTTTAGCTACAGCTTTCACTTCTCGTATTTGTAAGCATTGTAAGCGTTTTCAGTTAAGTTGATATGCGGAAGCAGTGGCCCGCATCAGTCTGCCGACTGCCTGAAATTAGTTTTTCTTCAAGTTCACTTGGTCACCACCTCAGTGTAGTCTTCTGTTCGGCGATAAACAATGAAAGGAGCTTCGCCCTAACTTGAACCTGGCGACAGGAGGGCTGAGTGCTCGCAGTGTCAGTGTTCTGTTTGTGTGCACCCTTCCCCGCTACTGGCCCAGAAACAAAAAAAAAAACTGCCTCTGAGGACGGCGACCTTCATTGAGCGCCGTGTGACACGACCGACTATGGTGAAACCAGGCAACGGCAACTGGGACTCTGGGGATGTTGACGGTCCCATGCTCTGACCAAGTGGGCGTTTGCGTGCCGAGTGTGGTTGCCATTCCAAGGTGTGTGGGTGTGCGGTGGATCGTGGCGACGCCGAAATGCGCTTGTTGGGCGATCTGCTTTGTGCTGTGCTATGCAAAGGTGTGCTGTGCTGTGTGGTGTGCGTGTATGGGTAGTGGTTGACAATCAGTGAAACACCCGAGAAGAAGCACAACGGCCACTTCAGGGAGCAGCGCCACTGCAGCCCTTCCGTGACCTCTTCGGGCGGCGGACGGGCTGTTATGACCGGCACAGCAAGGAGGTGGCTTGCAAGGGACGCTCATCGGCGTAACGATCAAACGCTGTCCGCGTCCTGCAGGAACGCGGGAGGCATCTGTGTGCGCCGCAGGAAACGCACATCAGCATCGCTGGGACACACAGCCTGCATCTGAGAAGATGCACCTGCACGGACGAGGGGTATAAAAAGCGCGTCGCCTGTGCGGTCGGAGCTCTTTCTCTGGACTTCTCTGGCCCGCTCGTCTCAAGTGCGCTCTGGGACCTTGTGATGGAAAGGCGCGTCAGTACGCTCTCGTTGCTATGTACTTCTCTTGCAGATATGTAAATTAAGCGCATCTTCTACTTGTTCGTGAGACTCGTCGCAAGAGCCGTCCTTCGCCGGATCCTGGGTAGCAGCCTCAACCCCTCCTCGGGCATATCACAGTGCAACGTCTACTAGAGGGACAGATGCCAACAAGTTCACACAACGCTTGCCAACATCTTATTTTTTTTCACCTTCGTGGCCAGCTCTGTGCTGTGCATCCTCAAATGATGCCTCACCGACGAACCCAAGCAACCGCTTTGCTTAGCGACACACCTCACTCAGAAATGAGACCAATTGTGCTGTTCCAATACACCTCTAACATAAAGTAATGCGAATCAGGTAGCTGATACTGCAGTTTTAACAATGTACCTTTCGCTTGCGAGTGCTCAATGTCTGGAACGGCAGGATGGTCTGGGAGGGGCGGTCCCAGGCGACTGCCTCACTGTCCAAGATGCAGGTCTTGGTGTCGGGTGAGATGGCCGCGCGAATGCGTGACACCACCTCGGGGTACTTGCCCGTGTTGTCCTCCTGGTTGCGGCTGTAGATGCGCACACTCCCATCTTCCAGAAGATGGATCTGGCGAGATAACGATAATCCTCTATTGCACAAATAGGGCCTGGAAATTTTCACCTTTTATTTATGCATTCGTATTTTGCATCAAGGAATGTTTAGTAGATGGCACTATGTCTTTTAACAGAGATTGGGAAGGCTATATACATTGTACTGGGTGCTAGTTTCTTAGCAAGCTTTTATGCAATCCAAAATCCCAGTGACAAATTTTACACACTGTGCAATAGAGGGATAAGTAGACCAACACCTCAATTTGATAAAGCTGCCATACGTAAAGGACAACTGCAGCAAAATATTAAGTGAGGCCCAATTTAAAATAGTGCAACTGAACTTAGGCCTAAATGTAAAGCCTAAATCAGGTAATCTAAATTGGCAGGAGGGTTAGTTTTAGCTCCATATTTCCAACACGAGTAAGTGTGTCATAAAAGAGCAAGAAAAAACATGTTCGTGCCACCAAACTTAAAATTAACAACAGAAAGGGAGGCAACGATTTGATGCAGCCACTCACAGCAAGTGTTCCAACACAGAAATTTCAACACTGAGAACTAGCACACGTCTCACAATGCAAGCGTGCCAAGAGATTAGTACACACAAGGTTCTTGGCATAGCCTCCGAGAGTCGCAAGTGTTCAACAGCAGGCCAGGCATCGTGCCAGCTTTATTTTCTTTATATACTTGTTTAATAAAAACTTCAGGGCCAAAGGCATTAAACGGAAAAGAGCTTAGAGGAATCAGAAAAAAGAAAACCTAAAAGTACATAGAATGCTTCAGTACAAGACTTCCGATTATACAGTTTTTGCAGGATTTAACAGAAAGGCGTACAACGCGACCCCAGGAAATCAATATAGAAATGCACAGTGGTTGCAAACATGTATACAATAAGAAAGCAAGGCTTGGATAACAAAATGCCCTCAGGTAATATCAACGAAGTGAAAAAACAGAAACCTTCAGTTATGAAACGATAGCTAAACCTGCTGAGAATGAAACGTGCAAATTAACATTCACGCATTCAGAATGAAAGGTGACCACAAATTTGACAAAAAAAAACAGAGAAGCAAGTAAATTCATGCATTCTAAATGAAACAGACTACAAACAAGCTAACATAATAGCCTCTCACCTGAGCACGCTCACCGTCGTACTTGAACTCGCACGTGAAGGCCGACCCTTCGAACCGATTGAGCACCTCTGAGATGGCCTTTGTCGGGTGGGCCAACATCGGCTTGAGTGGAATGCCGGGACTCAAGCGGCAACGTTCGGGGAGCGAGTCGACACCCTCTTCAAGCAGGGCATTGATGATGCGCTCATAGTCGGGACATTCGCTGCACAATCGCAAGGCAGCAACAATTGTTCTTGCCCTTATAACAATGCGGCGCCACATGACGGCGTGTAGATGAAAAAGATGGCAAACGCATTACAGAATACGGAAGCGCACAACGGGTTACATAAAGAACACACACACAAAGAGACAATGTAAGTGCTTGCGTCGTCCCTTTGTGCGAGTGTTCTTTGTTTAACCTGGTGTGCGCTGCCATATGCTGCAATGTCTTACCATAGAGTGCGCCAGTACATTTTGAGACAAACGCAGGGTGCTTTTACAATTATACATACAGCATGCTACTATAGCTGAGCACCTTTATAAGACGCACACAGCGAGAAACAGTTCTTGTCTCTTATACAAGGTGTTCCCTGGAAGCGGGGTACCATATCTTCAATTTCTGAAGAACCCTTATTTAGATGCAGACACACTTGCATTTCTTCGATTTATTCATCTCTTACATAAGTGCCTCTTATCAAAGTCAAGTGCAGCAAACTACACTCAAACCTGTATATAACGAACTCTGATATAACAAAATATCAGTTATTATGAAGTGAATTGAGAGTAGTTTTTTGCAATAAATATAGTGTTAGGAATACACCATTATAACAAAAATGTCGGTTATAATGAAGTTACTTTTGTGTAAAATGCAATATTTCTTATGACGTTTGGGTACCGTATTTACTCGATTCTACCGCGCCCTCGATTGTAACGCGCACCCGGTTTCCACGACGAAAAAAAAAAAAGTAAGACATCGATTGTAACGCGCACCCATTTTTCTCGTTGGCCCGCACGATCCCACCACTCGGGAAAACGACTTGTTTCGCGAGCGTCTTCCGTTTAAATATGAGGTACGGGGGAAGCTTGGGCCTATTTGACGTGCAACGAAGCATCGCCGTCACTCTAGTTTTACCGTGGCCCGATGTCAGCACGCGAACTTGCTTCACTCCCTTCTTCTCGACGGTTGTGGTGCCAGGAATGTCGAAGTAAAGAGGCGTCTGATAGGCATTCCCGATTTGCCCAAGCAGGTAGCCGTTGTTGTGCCGCAACTTTTGGCATAAGCCCGTTCGCCTTCGGAGGGAAAAGCCTTTCCTCTTCATAAAGTTAGTTAGCCTGCAGCTGCTCGCTTTAAACTGGCTCCGCATTAGCCCTTTTTCTAAGGCTAACTGCATAGCCTGCACTTGGAGCAGTTCTGTCGTCATGGGCCGCTCACTGCTCAATCATATACTCGCCGGGCAGCTCTTCCAATTTGCGGAAACCGACCCTGCTGTAGTCCACTGAAGCCTTTGCGTGAATGTTTGCTGTCGACAATATTCTGCTTTTGTTTCCGCCAGTCCCGCACACACGTTTCGGGAACTCCGAACGACCGCAATGCGGCCCGATTTCCATCCGTTTCGGCACACACGATGACATTTCTATTTAAAAGCAGCATCGTGGTGCACTCGTCGAGTTTTTGGAGTCATCCCTTCGATGCCGTCGATGCTAATGCACTACAAGATGACGAACTCCTCAGCACACGTACGAAGTGCCGCACATGGGAAACACATAGGCAGAAATGGCCGACGCGTCATGCTGACGCACGTAGGGGGCGGCCATTTTGGAAATGCCGATGGCAATAAAATAACCGTATTCATTTTTTTTTTTCTTACTCGATTCTAACGCGCATGTGATTTATGAACTCGCTTAACCAGAAAAAAGGTGCGCGTTAGATTCAAGTAATTACGGTATACATTACATGAATACATAAATATAAAGTCTGTTTTGCCAATGTGCCTTGGCCTTCTGTGTGATTGCACACGCAGAGCCGAAATTAACCTAATATCACGTAATTTTATCCTAATTTTTAGCACAATACCCATGTTAGACTAGCAATGACACTAAACTTGATCTAGTAAACATTAGGCTTGATTAGGCTCAGTAAGGTCAGCTTGGATTAGGTAAGGTTGGCTGTGCTTAGCCTGCATGACCTGATGTGTCAGTTAAAAAAATACTGTGCCAAAAAAGAAATTGCCAGGCCCGCGCGGAACGCACAACACAGTCACAGCGAAAGCTGGAAGACCTTCCAGAACCTTTCCTAAACACTCTTTGTGTGACTGCTACAAGTACACTAGCTGGGTACCCACTACGCCATAAACAATCATAATTTCTGTGTAGTAGGCCAGCATTCAGTATGCTGACCTTCGCCATACTTCGGAGAAGCGTGGTATTCGCGACACACTTGCTAGGACTCAAGTCCAATTTTTTTATGCAGTGGCTGACGAAGAACTATGCCTGAAGTGGGTATGCACCACAGATAATAGGTGATCAAGAACAAGCTTTTGTAATGAATTAGAGCACTGGATGACCCACTCGTTTCGGAATTCGCAATGTGTGACGCCTGGTTGATCCTTTGCTGTTCTGAAACGCTTCCTGACACATACTAACGTGATTACTTTCCCAACATCAAGCCTGTCTAAGGCCAAAGAAGTCCCAACCACCGGCTTGGCTCTGCGCTGGAATATTGGGCTGGCACGCAGGGGACCTGTGTTCGAATTTCACTGTGTCTTTAGCGTTGTTTATTTACTCACTTTTCTTTTGTGCAAAAGTGGTTAAGGACACTGGCGGCGAACAACTGTGGCACCGCAAGCAACCTTTATTGCTATCTCATAACAGCTTTCGCTGTAATAACAGTCACTTTTGTCCAGAAATTTATTATAGTGTACCACACTTCAGTAGCATTTGCTTTCGTCATTACAATGTAAAAACTTGCATTTTAAGACAGAGAAAGCTTCACAGATACATGATTTGTACTTCATTATTTTGTAGTAATCACATTTCACTGAAACATAGTGTACACTCGAATTTCAATATAACGAACCCTAAGAATGAAAGCCCACTGAGAATGAAATATCTGTTATAATAAAGTAAATAAAAGAATAGGCTGGCAATGGACATATACCTTTATCACGAATATTCAGATAGTCAACCATATTTGTATGAGATGCGATTTCGGTATTAAAAAGCTTGAGTGTAGAAGTTTAAGTCTACAGAAGTATTTAAAAATGTCATCACTGAGCTGGGCAACAGAGGCAATGATTTTTAGCACCTACAATACGATGCTTTTGGGAAGCTTCTTCAACTCAATGGTGTGAACATCAACAGCTTTGCTTCGATGCTTCAATTCAACACAGACGATTGCAAGGAAGAGTTCCAAGTTCCTGCTTGCGTTTCATCTGCACACATGGCTTGTTATCACTCCCCCATTGACTCTCCAATTTCCTTTGAACAAGATACAAAAACAAGAGGAAGTCAGGAGTTTCGCACCGAATTCCTCTGAGGAACTGGCAAGGAAGACGCCATCTGCAACTTCCGTTCATCATCTACAGAATGCATCAACGAGCTCGGCTCACCAATAAGCCGTCTTGAGAAGCAGAGCCGCTTCCTCGAGGCGCTTCTTGGACGCCTTGGGATCCCCGTGAGGCGGTGAGAGTGCGGCCGCGTGAGCCAGGGCTGTCAGCAGCGACGCCTCGGCCAGGCCCACGCGCAGTTTGCCGCCGAGCGAGCGCACCAGGAACCGCGCCTCACACTGGCGGCACGCGACGAGAAGGACCTTGATTATGTCGACCTTCTTCTGCTGCACCTGTTGACAAAGAACCAAAGCATGCAGAATGTAGCATGATTGCTGTACGAGATCACCACTGCTGGAAAGCAATCCGCCAACGCAAAATGCACTTCAATGCACTTCAGATCATTTTTATTTTACAGATACAAGCAATACACTCATCCCTCGTTATACTCAAACCTTGATATAACAAACGCAGATGCAGTACATATAACCTTGTTACAACGGATCTGCTTACAACACACATTACGATACTACATTCTGATTGGCGGCGTAATGCCAACCTCCCTATCTGTTCCAGTGATTGAGTTCAGTTTACTACAGATTCTGTTATGACAGACATTCAGATATAATTGACTAGAATGCAAGGCCTCCAAAATGGAGGCCTTGCATTGTAGTCAATTACAGTGAACTCTCTTTAGGACGAACTCAAAGGAACCATGAAGAATTGTTCGTCTTATCAGAAGCACCCTCGAAAAAAGAATTGGCTATATACCTAGGTGCATGCAAATATCTTAGTTCAAAACAAAATATCAAATACACTTACAGTGAAGGAAAAAGACACAAAAATAATTTATTTGAGGGAGTAACCTGATAGGCAACTGCGTTCCAAGTGCTCTTGCTCAGCTTGATCCAGTCTATAACATCGGCGAGCAGCCACAAATGACACCATATCTCCTAGCGATCTCAAAAACACTTCAGTTCCTTCATGCTGCTCAAAATAGTTCCTTAACGAACTAATGTGGAGATCTGCAGCATCATTTGCCACTGGCGCAGGCCACATGCTGGCATCTTCGTCATCCTCGGACGTCACCTCTAGAACCTCATCAATCAATGTGTCCAATGTGTCCTCCCTGCAGGTTGGCACATCTTCATCGACAGTGACATAACTGCCTATGTCCCCGACGAGTCCTTTATTGCCTAGCGAGGCAACGAGGCTCACCTCTTCCTCGTCATCTTCGCAACTGTCCTGCGCCGAGCACTCGGGCACCACAAAACCAGCATGACGGAATGAATTTATTATAGTCATGTCAGTCACCTGGCTCCAGGCATTTGTGAGGAGGTGAAGTGCTGTCAGCAGGTCCACTGTGTACCGTTTGTCGCTCTCCATGCACAGTAACATTCTCTCCAGAAGAGATCGGCGATAGTGCCTTTTCAGGCTGCTGATCACCCCCTGGTCCATTGGCTGTGGTGTGGTGGCTTGGCTGTGGTGCTAGTGGGCAAAAACTCCAAGCGAATGGCCTGAAGGTTGGCGACGTGCCCGTGCCCAGGGCAGTTGTCCAACAGGAATGCGGGTCGAAGTGCGGGTGATGCCGCGGGCCATTCTTTTGTCGCTGCCTCCCTCCCTCCGCCGTGGCGCGAATTCGCTTCGCGCCGTTGCTGCTTTTGTATTTTCTTTCCCTCCGGCCACGGGAATGCCCCCCAAGATTGCCATAATTCCTCTGTAGAATTGCCTTGGTCTCCCGGTCTCCGCAAAAGTGTTCGTCTTAACAGAAGAGCAGGTGCAAGGCTGTTCGTTTTAAGCGGATTTTTTTCGCATTGGGTCTATGGAAAACCAAACAAACGTTCTCACGTTGTTCGGCATAAGCGAGAATTCGTCTTAAACGAGTTCGTCTTAACGGGAATTCACTGTATATCTAAATGCCACTGTAAGACAGTCCTCCACCGTCTTGCAGTGGAAGACTGTTTTATAGCGGACTTTTCAGCCACAGGCATTCTAAATTCTATAACTTTCAACTTCAAACATCGCTTGGCATACTTTCAAGATGGGAATATCGCTGCAGTTATCGATGTACCAATTTAAGAACAAAGGCTGCAGATCTCCGGCCTGTAAATGATCAGTTATGTTGAGCTACAGCAGCAAAAGATCGGCGCGCAGCGTGCTTGGTTTTGCATGTAGGGGCGCTGACGTGCGAAATCGCTGGCCTCTCCTACAACTGTTCCGAACAGACGGTGCGTGGCGAGCTTGGCTGGGGTCCACTACCAATGCACTATATGTCCATTTGCGGTTCTGCGGAGCCAGCGGCCTGTGTGTAGTCTCTTGCGACGAAGCACATTACGGATTCTTCACTTTTGCACATCCGCTAGAGAGGTGGTCTTGCCCGCCAAGTTCGGGCAAAGTAGGCCTAGCCACGACTTTGAGGAGAAATCGCGGCTGCGATGTGCATGGCCGCGGTGCCTTATGTTTCAAACTGCAACATGCTCGATCGGGAGTACTAAGATTTGCCTCACGGTGGTCTTCATTGCAAGGTTTAAAGTGGCAGAACATTCCCGCCAACGAGTCAATGCTATGACTGTCGAATGGAGACGCGCGTGTGCATACGTGTGCAATGTTCACGGCTAGCGCGGCGCACGATCGTAATCTGATAACTGAACTTCCGCCTGCACTTGCCTAGGCATATATACCGTATTTTCGTGCGTATAACCCGCACCAAAAACCAAAAAATTTCAGTGGCAAAGTGGAGGTGCGGATAATACACGGGGTTTTTCCTATAGTGCTGCTTCACAGCAATGCGTGTTGTACTGTGAAGCCCCTTAACAGTGTAGCGAAGGCTACGGAGGCGGTTTCCGCAAATTCGTGTTGCTCCGCTAATAGCACGGCAGCTTGCGGCTGATTTTGGTTTCGCTTGCTTGCATCGTTGAAGCGTTTAGAAAAACATTTGGGGAGAGACAATTCGATTTTTCAGTGTAAAATCTCACTATGACACCACAAGTATATTTTTTGGACGTTCGCGGCCGCTTAGTGACCCTCCACATCTCCCTATGTCACAGACGCCATGTTTACTTTTGGAAAGGGCTTGCCGAAAAGGTGGTGCTGTCTAAGAAAGTTCCATAATAAATAAAGCAAGTTCCATAATAAATAAAGCAGTATTTATTTCAGCAAGGCAAATGAGATGTTATAGTGCCTATAGAGATATTATCAGTAAATTAATGTACTACTTTTTGACGCGGTAGCAGGCATGCATTTCGGTTCTGTTGTTTCCAGGGTGCTTTTACAGTGTACTAGAAGGGGTAGTGCTGTCAAGTTGTCGCCGAGTGTGAGCAGTCTTTACCTCGCTGATACCGCTAGTTCTCCACATCTCGACCCGTTCGCCAAGCCTAAGTCGATCTGTTCAGTCACCATGAGTAGCGTACGGCGGCAGGCCTTTACGGCACAGCAAAAGCTTAAGATCATCGCCGTCGCCGAAGAATTTGGAAATCGCGAAGCGGGAAGACGGCACGATGTGGATGAGTCCTGCGTGCGACTGTGGAGAAAGAAGAAAGAGAGCCTACAAGCCGCGCACCGCGACCGTAGGTCATTTCGTGGCCCCAAGACCTGTGCCTACCCTGAGCTGGAGGCAGAGCTAGTAAAGTTAATCGAAGATTTGAGAAGCAGGGGTCACGCCGTATCGACCGAGATGGCCCAAGTGGAAGCGCGGCGACTTTCAAGGGAGCTAAACCTACCTCACGAGTTCCGTGTGAGCAGCGGATGGCTGCACCGCTTTATGAAGCGGCAAAGGCTCTCAATCAGACGGCAAACTACAATTGGCCTGCGAAAGCAGCACAATTACATTTTCTCGCAAATCGGCAATGCAGATGAAACCTCTGTTTATTTTGAAATGCCGTTGGACACAACGATTGAGAAAACGGGCAGCAGTTCGGTGAGCGTGCTGACCGGCGGGAACACGAAACTGCGCATCACAGTCTTGCTTTGTGCCCTCGCCGACGGCACGCAGCTGCGACCGTACGTCATCTTGAAAAGGAAAACTCTACCAAAGGTTCATTTGCCTGCAGGTGTGGTGGTGCGCGCACACGAGGACGCGTGGATGAACAGTGACTTGTTCGTAGACTGGATCAAGACGGTATGGGAGAAGAGGCCCGGTGCGATGCTCGCAAAGAGGTCCATGCTCGTTCTTGACTCGTTCCGCGTCCACACAACTGAGGAAGTGAAGGACCGCCTTTCACGCAACGGCATCGACTTAGTTGTTATACCCGGTGGAATGACGTCAATGTTGCAGCCTCTAGATGTGTCGCTTGACAAGCCCTTGAAAGTACATGTCAAGCGCTATTACGCCGAGTGGATGGCCGAAGGCTGCTACGACTTGACGCCGACAGGACGAGTCCGAAGGCCTGATATTGCCCTATTCCGCAAGTGGATTGTCGAGGCATGGAAGGCCATTCCAGGTGAGATGGTGCGAAAAAGTTTCAAGAAATGCTGCATCACAAACAACATGGATGGAAACGAAGATGACCTTGTGCATAATAGTGAGGACTGCGGCTCAAGTGATAGCTCTAGCGAGAGCAGCGACAGTGAGTGAATTGCGACTGGCCTTGCAGACAGCGTATTCTGCTTGCTAAATAAACCTTTTTCTGTCTACATATGTGCTATGTCGTTTGAGCAGTAGCTTTTGTACAGCCTTTCCTGTATATCAAATGTGCGGGCAGTACGCGAGGATATTTTTTTCTTTCTCGGTGAGCTGAAAGTGGGGGTGCGGATTATATGCAGTGGCGGGTTATACGTGCAAAAATACGGTATGTCCTGAATTATTTTCGACCTCTGAACAGAGAACGAGAGTGAAAACGTCACTGAGTCGCACAACTTCAGACAGCCCTCGCTTCGCGATGAGGAAGAAGCAGTCGACGCTACCCCAGAGACATATCCCGGAACAAGCATTGCACTAGCGAGGCATACTAGAGCAACACGGCAGAAGTGGCCAATCAGAGGCCTTAAAAATGAATTTAAAATTTCAAACACCTGCTTTTTGAACACCGGATGCTCTTTACGAAATACTTTTACGGCACGTCCAAACTGGTGGTGGGCAGTTGTGCCGTTGCGAAACTATAAAATTTCGAAAGATGCCGAAGAAGCTGTTTTTTTTATGACAAACTTGCTTTTTGCATAAAAATGAGCTCGTGATATGTGCAATTTTGTTGTAAAGGTATGTTCCTAACACTATGATCATTGCAAGACCATTTTTCACAGACATTGTTATAATTGTAGCGAAGCCTTGGAACTTAGTTATTCATAGATGGATGGA